CAGGCTTTAGATTCGTGGTTACCAAAGGTTCAAGGTTAGCTTCTTTAGTATCTTACTGCCTAACTTAGCTCGCTTATTGAGCTGTTATATACACTGTCTGGAGATTCTTTTCTTCTCTCCCTTCTTATTCCTCCTCCTCCATTCTTCATATGTTGTGTGTTTTGTTCTGTGCTCTTTTTAGGAGTGCTCCCATCTAGAGCAGTCCCTGTAGGATGCCCTGTAGAGGTGGTTTGTGGGAAGCAAATTCCCTCAGCTTTTGCTTGTCTGGGAATTGTTTAATCCCACCATCATATTTAAATGATAGTCGTGCTGGATACAGTATCCTTGGTTCAAGGCCCTTCTGTTTCATTGCATTAAATATATCATGCCATTCTCTTCTGGCCTGTAGGGTTTCTGTTGAGAAGTCTGATGTTAGCCTGATGGGTTTTCCTTTATAGGTGACCTTTTTCTCTCTAGCTGCCTTTAAAACTCTTTCTTTGTCCTTTATCCTTGCCATTGTAATTATTATATGTCTTGGTGTTGTCCTCCTTGGTTCCTTTCTGTTGGGGGTTCTGTGTAATTCCGTGGTCTGTTCGATTATTTCCTCCCCCAGTTTGGGGAAGTTTTCAGCAATTATTTCTTCCAAGATACTTTCCATCCATTTTCCTCTCTCTTTCTCTTCTGGTACCCCTATAATATGGATATTGTTCCTTTTGGATTTGTCACACAGTTCTCTTAATATTGTTTCATTCCTAGAGATCCTTTTCTCTCTCTATTTCAGCTTCTATGCATTCCTGTTCTCTGGTTTCAATTCCATCAATGGCCTCTTGCATCTTATCCATTCTGCTTATAAATCCTTCCAGAGTTTGTTTCATTTCTGTAATCTCCTTCCTGGCATCTGTGATCTTCCTCCAGACTTCATCCCATTTCTCTTGCGTATTTCTCTGCATCTCTGTCATCATGTTTATGATTCTTATTTTGAATTCTTTGTCAGGAAGACTGGTTAGGTCTGTCTCCTTCTCTGGTGTTGCCTCTGTCATCTTTGTTTGCCTGTAATTTTGTCTTTTCATGGTGATAGGAATAGTTTGCAGAGCTGGGACGAGTGACGCTGGAAGATCTTCCCTTCTTGTTGGCTTCTGGCCTTCCTCTCCTGTGAGAACAGCGACCTCTAGTGGCTTGTGCTGGGTAGCTGCGTGCAGACAGGGCTTCTGCTTCCTGCCCGGCTTCTATGGAGTTTATCTCCACTGTTGCTGTGGGCGTGGCCTGGCTGGGGTTGCTGCTCCAACATGGTGGAGTTGCATTGGAGTGGGAGTGGCCGGGAGGCTATTTATCTCCATAAGGGTACTCCGTGCTCCCTCCTGCCCAGGTGGTTAGAGTGCCCAGAGATCCCCGGATTCCCTACCTCTGGACTAAGTGTCCCACCCTGCCCCTTTAAGACTTCCAAAAATCACTCACCAAAACAAAACAACAACAACAACAAAAAATTAAAAGTAAATAAAAAAAGAAAGGAAAAAAAAAGAGGCTGCTTGCTTTTCTCTTGTTCTCCAGAGCCATCCTCTGGTTCCTGCTCACCAGTCTTGCTGCCCTGTTTCCCTAGTGTTGGGGTCCCTGTCCTTTTAAGACTTCCAAAAAGCACTCGCCAAAACAAAACGACAACAAACTAAACAAAACAAAAGAAAAAAAGGCCACTCGTTTTTCTTTATTCTCCAGCGCCAGCCTCAGGCACCCGCTCACCAGTCTTGCTGCCCTGTTTCCCTAGTATTGGGGTCCCTGTCCCTTTAAGACTTCTAAAAAGCACTCGCCAAAACAATACAACAAGAACAAAAAAAAAATGGCCGCTTGCTTTTCTTTTGTTCTCTAGTGCCAGCCTCCGATACCCGCTCACCGGTCTTGCTGCCCTGTTTCCCTAGTATCCAGGACCCCACGCATGCACTGTGTCTGCGCTCTGGTCCGGATGGCTGAGGCTGGGTGTTCAGCAGTCCTGGGCTCCTTCTCCCTCCCTGCTCTGACTCCACTCCTCCCGCTGGGCGCTGGGGGGAGGGGCGCCCCGGTCCCGCCGGGCCAGGGCTTGTATCTTACTCCCTTTGTGAGGTGCTGGGTTCTCGCAGGTGTGAATGTGGTCTGGATGTTGTCCTGTGTCCTCTGGTCTTTATTCTAGGAAGAGTTGTCTTTGTTATATTTTCATAGATGTATGTGGTTTTGGGAGGAGATTTCCACTGCTCTACTCATGCCGCCATCTTGGCTCCGCCCCTATTTTAATTTTTTAAACTAAATTTTAGAATTATTTTTGTAAAACTATCAACAAGTAGGAGGGCAAGGAGAATGGATGGGTGGACAGTACATAAAGACTGTAAGGCACCATGGTTTTGGTTTTGCTGGTGGTATTTGATTTTACCCCAAGTGCCACTTCAGATTTCCTAATGTCATGTACATTTTTAACCAGAAGGGGAATATATTTTGCTAAGTCTATTAAAAACATCTTTTTAACACTGCTTTGTTTACATTGCCCAGGTTTTTAAAGAGGAAAAATACCTGAAGGACGCCATGGAGTGCAGTGATGTGATATGGCAGCGAGGCCTGCTGCGGAAGGGCTATGGCATCTGCCATGGGACTGCAGGAAATGGCTATGCTTTCCTTTCCCTTTACCATCTTACGCAAGATAAAAAGTACCTCTACCGAGCTTGCAAGGTAAAGATGCCTCTATCCAAACAAACTTTTGTACATGCCAGAATGGACACAAAGCCGAAAAGTACAACTCCTCTCCTCCTTTTAACTTGTTTCTCCAAACTTTGTGGTTCTTGTTTCTTCCGGCACAGCCTTTTCCTGGCCTCTCTGTGATGCATGATCCCATCTGTCAAGTGGGGCTAAGACACAGGGATGAGTTCTGAGGACACAAGTTCTAGAGTCACGTGACCTGATTAGAATCACCCCCTTTGCCATTGACTAGCTTTGTAGCTTTGAGTGTCTCTTCTTAAAGCCTCAGTTTACTCATCTATGAAATTGGGGAGAAATATCACCCACCTCCTATATTTGTTCCAAGAAGAATTAATTGAGATAATGAAATATGCAGATCATCTACAACTGCCCCTGTTTAAAATCCTCCAGTGGTTTTCTCCCTGCAGTGTGACTGAAACCCAAACTGCTTCCCAAGTTCACAGCACCTGTCCACTTTCCCCTGGCTGCCTCTCCTCCACATCTTAGCCACTGTTTAGTCTAGCACATTCCACACCACAGCTGTGCTGCTGCCCCTTCCCAAGTGGAGCATGCCATGTGTGCCTTTGAGTGTTTTTTAGTCTTTTCCTCTCCCAAGAATGCTTTTCCCCTGAAATTTGCGTGATGACTCCTTGTCATTCCAGTCTCAGCTTACATGGTGCTCTTAGAGCCTCTGAGATGTCGTAAGTGAAAGGGTAACCCAGCCATTTGTTGTGGAGTTGTTTCATGCGTATGTTGCACCAGTAGAATATAAGGTCCATGAACTTATTTGTCTAGGTACTGGTGTGGAGTGGTGACCCAGAACAGTGCCAGCACCAAGTAGAAACTTAACAAATATACACAGAATGTGTAAAAATGAAAGGCACAAAGCAGGACTCAGTAAATGCTTGCCAGTGTTTTTATTACTATACACATTTCACAAAATATAGTTACCATAGACACAAGAAAAAGATGGCATGAAAGCAAGCCAAAATGCTCACAATGACCCTTGATAGACGGGTGTTATGAATAACTTATTCTTTATATTTTTTGGACAATGAGCACCTGTCACTATTAAGAATCCTTTTCTCAACCCAAATGGAATAAATCCTTTCCTTCTTGGTGCCGTGAGACACACACATATGCCATGAGAAATGCCCACAGAGAGGAGCACACAGGACACATTGTGGGGGCACATGGAGAAGGAGATACCCAACCTGGACATCCCTGAGAAGTTAGGAATTAACACCTGGACAAGACCTAATGGGTAACTAGAAATTCAGCAGGGGGGGATGGGAAGTGTTGAAAGGAGAGGCCTGAAAGGTGTGAAGCACCAAGCAGAACCCTGTGGAATTCATCTGGATGGAGCAGAGCAGCAGGTAGAGTCCACAAGGTGAGGAGCAGCTAGACTTGGTGATAATTGTCATAGCAGATGATTAAACAAATGGGGAGGATTGGGAGGACTTAATGGAGGGTGAGACGCAGCTGGTTTTCTAAAGATGAAGAGTGTTTCAGGTGGGTCAGGGGCAGCCTGGGGAGGTGGGTAATTGCCCTTGCAAAACCACAGTGCCGCATGGTCATGAGACTGAGTGCCCCAGTGCTGGGCACGGCAGAGGGCAAAGGTGAAGGCAGACAGGAACGCAAAGTCCTTCCTTTTGACAGTGGTTCTCAACATTGGTTACACATGAGAATCACTAGGAGCTTTACAGGAGTACTGCACCCTACCCCAGACAGGAAGGGAGTGCAGGCCCCAAGAGTGTCCAAGGCCTGCGTATTCCAATAATCAGCCAGTGTGTATGCTGATCTGGAAAGTGGGGGTTCACAAAGGTTTCTGATACATGTTCAGACTCTTCTCATACATCATGATCATAGCAGAAAGAATGAGTTAGATGTTATGTTTCCCCAAATTGATGTTTTATAACTAACATAAGAAATGTTGAGTTATAAACCAAGACACTGGTTCTGATAAAAACAGACAAGGGAGGCTTAAAGATGGCAGCGTGAGAGGTGGGACAGAAACATCCTCCCAAAACCACATATAATATGAAAATACAGCAAATACAACTAATTCTGAAGGAGCAACAGGAAAGAAGGCTGTGACAGACTGCCTACATCTGGAGAAAGAGGAGACCTTACAGAAAAGGGTAAAGTACCAAAGCCATGACCTGGCGAGACCCAAGCCCTTCCCCAACCCAAGCTTACTGGTGGAAGAGAAATGGAGCAGGGAGTGGGTGGAGGCCTAGGACTGCTGAACACCTAGCCCTGGAGATCTCCTCTGGAAACACAAACCTACATTACATGGTGCTGTGGAAATAACTGGGGTTGGAAAACTAACTCAGGCAGAATACTTAGAGAGACTGAGACCCAGCCACCTCTGGAAAACAGGTAACCAAAACCAGCAGCTCTGCGACAAAAGAAAGTAGGCACTCTAAGAGTTCCCAACAGCGAGAGGGCTGCTAAAGGGGCAAGGATTGCACAGAGTTTGCTGCTCAGGAGAAAGGACAGGTGGACAAAATTGTCCTGGTGCACCCAGCCCAGCAGGTTGGGAACTTTAAGGAGCTTCAGGTGCTCCATTGCCCTGGCTAGCAACACAGCTCCAAGGCCCACCACAGTGATACGCAGCCTGCTGCTACCTCCCAGGCAGCACAGCCCCACAAACCTGCCCCTGCCATTGCACTGGGCCAGCCAGAGGGCAGCCACACCTATGGCAGCTATAAAGGTGTAGCATAGAGACTCCTCTCTGTGCACTAAACTCACTGGCCCTGTCAGTGGACACAGTCACTATAACCAAGAAGCAGGAGAGAGCTATTTGCTCCTGGAAGGCACTACTGCTGCTCACCTGTGACCCCTGCCATCACTCCAGGGGCGGAGCAGCTACAGAGAGTAGAGCTTCTGGGCACTAGAGGGTGCCACCTACACCAAGTTAACTATTACAAATATGAAACAGCAAAAGAACCTGATACAAACCAAAATCCCACCAACACTAGAAAAAGGGCCAAGTGAAACAACTCACTGGTCTTCCTGAAAAATATTTCAAAATAAAATTCATAAACATGCTCATGGAACTACAAAAAAATATTCAGGACTTCAGGCCAGAATTCAAGAACGAGATAGAAACATTGAACAATACAGTATCCAAAATGAAACATACAATGGAGGTATTTAAAAGCAGATTAGATGAAGAAGAGGAGATGGTAAATAAAATAGAAATTGGAGAATAGGAATACAAAGAAGCTGAGGCACAGAGAGAAAAAAGGATCTCTAGAAATGAAAGAATATTAAGAGAACTGTGTGACCGATCCAAAAGGACAAATTTATTTGCCTTATATGGGTACCAGAAGATGAAGAAGAGAGAAAAGGGACAGTGAAGGACCACTCACTCCAAAGGACAGGTCAACCACACAGAAAATAAGTAAAGAGACAGAGGCACTAAACAACACATTAGAACAGAAGGACCTAACGGACATCTACAGAACACTCCATCCAAAGCAGCAGGATACACATTCTTCTCAAGTGCACATGGAACATTTTCAAGAATAGATCATATACTAGGCCACAAAAAGAACATCAGTAAATTCAAAAAGATTGAAATTGTGACAACCAGGTTCTCATATCACAAAGGTATGAAACTAGAAATAAATTACACAAAGAAAATGAAAAAGCCCACAAACATGTGGAGGCTTAATAACATGCTCCTAAATAATCAGTGGATCAATGACCAAATAAAAACAGAGATCAAGCACTACAAGGAGACAAATGACAATAATTCAACACCACATAATCTGTGGGACGCAGCAAAGGCCATGCTAAGAGGGAAGTATATTGCAATACAGGCCTACCTCAGGAATGAAGAACTATCCCAAATGAACTCAAACTCACAATTAATAAAACTATAAAAGGAAGAACAAATCAGGCCCAGAGTCAGTAGAAGGAGGGACATAATAAAGATTGAAGCAGAAATAAATAAAATTGAGAGGAATAAAACAAAAGAAAGAATCAATGAAAGCAGGAGCTGGTTCTTCAAGAAAATAAACAAAATAGATAAACCCCTAGCCAGACTTACCACGAAAAAAAGAGAGTCTACACACACAAACAGAATCATAAATGAGAAAGGAAAAATCACTATGGAATACAAAGAATTATGAAAGAACACTATGAAAAATTATATGGTAACAAACTGGATAATCTAGAAGAAATGGACAACTTTCTAGAAAAATACAACCTTCCAAGGCGGACCAAGGAAGAAACAGAAAATATGAATAGACCAATTACCAGCAAGGAAACTGAATTGGTAATGAAAAAACTACCTAAGAACAAAACCCCTGGACTCAATAGTTTCACTGCTGAATTATATTAAACATTTCGTGAAGATCTAATACCCAGCCTCCTTGAAGTTTTCCAAAAAGTAGAAGAGGAGGGAATACTCACAAACTCACTCTACAAGGACAAAATCACTCTAATACCAAAAGCAGGCAAATGCACCACAAAAAAAGAAAATTACAGACCAATATCCCTGATGAACATAGATGCAAAAATACTCAACAAAATATTAGCAAACCGAATTTAAAAATACATCAAAAAGATCATCCATCATGATCAAGTGGGATTCATCCCAGGGATGCAAGGATGGTATAACATTCAAAAATCCATCAACATCATTAACTACATCAACTAAAAAGAGAACAAAAACTACATGATCATTTCCATACATGCTGAGAAAGCATTCAAGAAAATTCAACATCCATTCATGATAAAATCTCTCAACAAAATGGGTATAGAGGGCAAGTACCTCAACATAATAAAGGCCATATATGACAAACCCACAGCCAACATTTTACTTAACAGCGAGAAGCTGAAAGCTTTTCCTTTAAGATCAGGAACATGACAAGGATGCCCACTCTCCCCACTATTATTTAGCATAGTACTGGAGTTCCTAGCCATGGCAATCAGACAACACAAAGAAATAAAAGGCATCCAGATTCACCAGGAAGAAGTCAAACTGTCCCTGTTTGCAGATGACATGGTATTGTACATAAAAAATCTTAAAGAATTCACTCCAAAACTACAAGATATAATATCTGAATTCAGCAAAGTTGTGGGATACAAAATTAATACACAGAAATCTGTTGCATTCCTATACACTAACGATAAACTAGCAGAAATAGAAATTAGGTAAACAATTCCATTCACAATTGCATCAAAAAGAATAAAATACCTAGGAATAAACCTAACCAAGGAGGAGAAAGACCTATACTCTGAGAACTACAGGACACTTTTAAAAGAAATTAAAAGAGGACAGGACACTAATAAATGGAAATTTATCCCATGCTCTTGGCTAGGAAGAATTAATATTTTCAAAATGACCATCCTGCCTAAAGCAATCTACAGATTCAATGCAATCCTATCAAAATACCTACAGTATATTTCAATGAACTAGGGCAAATAATTCTAAAATTCACATGGAATGACAAAAGACCCCTAAAGGCAATCCTGAGAAGGAAGAATAAAGCAGGGGAAATTATGCTCCCTGACTTCAAGCTTTACTACAAAGCAACAATAATCAAGACAATTTGGTACTGGCACAGGAACAGACCCATAGACCAATGGAACAGAATAGAGAGCCCATATATAAACCCAAGTATATATGGTCAATTAATATACGATAAAGGAGCCATGGATATACAGTGGGGGAAATGACAGGCTCTTCAACAAGTGGTTTAGTGAAACTTGACAGCTACATGTAAGAGAATGAAACTGGATTATTGTCTAACCCCATACACAAAGTAAACTTGAAATGGATCAAAGACCTAAATGTAAGTCATGAAACCATAAAATTCTTAGAAAAAAATATAGGCAAAAATCTCTTGCACATAAACATGAGCAAGTTCTTCATGAACATATCTCCCCAGGCAAGGGAAACAAAAGCAAAAATGAACAAGTGGGACTATATCAAACTAAACAGCAAAGGACACCATCAATAGAACAAAAAGACATCCTACAGTATGGGAGAATATATTCATAAATGACCTATCCAATAAGGGGTTGACATCTAAATTATATAAAGAGCTCACACACCTCAACAAACAAAAAGCAAATAATCCAATTAAAAAATGGGAAGAGGAGCTGAATACACACTTCTCCAAAGAAGAAATTCAGATGGCCAACAGGCACATGAAAAGATGTTCCATATTGCTAATCATCAGAGAAATGCAAATTAAAACCACAATGAGATATCACCTCACTTCAGTTAGGATGCCAACATCCAAAAGACAAACAACAAATGTTGGCAAGGATGTGGAGAAAGGGGAACCCTCCTACACCACTGGTGGGAATGTAAACTAGTTCAACCATTGTGGAAAGCAGTATGGAGGTTCCTTAAAAAACTCAAAATAGATATACCATTTGACCCAGGAATTCCACTCCTAGGAATTTACCCAAAGAATGCAGAGGCCCAGTTTGAAAAAGACCTATGCATCCCTGTGTTTATCGCAGCACTATTTACGATAGCCAAGAAATGGAAGCAACCTAAGTGTCCATCAATAGATGAATGGATAAAGAAGATGTGGTATATATACACAGTGGAATAGTATTCAGCCATAAGAAGAAAACAAATCCTACCATTTGCAACAACATGGATGGAGCTAGAGGGTATTACGCTCAGTGAAATAAGCCAGGCGGAGAAAGACAAGTATCAAATGATTTCACTCATCTGTGGAGTATAAGAGCAAAGAAAAAACTGAAGGGACAAAACAGCAGCAGACTCACAGAACCCAAGAATGGACTAATAGTTTCCAAAGGGAAAGGGACTGGGGAGGGTGGGTGGGAAGGGAGGTAAAGGCAGTATATACAGAGAAGAGAAGTAGTGATTTTATAGCGTCTTACTAGGCTGATGGACAATGACTGTAATGGGGTATGGGGGGGGGGAGTTCATAATAGGGGAAGTCTAGTAACCATAATGTTCAAGTAATTGTACATTAATGATATCAAAATAAATAAATAAATAAATAAATAATAAAAAAACAACGTAAATAAAGCACTTTGCACAGTGCTTGACACATAGTAAGTGCTTGCTAAGTGGAAAAAAAGTAACAGCAAATGCTGGCACGGATGCAGAGAAAGGGGAACCCTCCTACACTGCTGGTGGGAATGTAAATTAGTTCAACCATTGTGGAAAGTACAATAATGTGGTTCCTCCAAAAACTAAAAATAGAAATACCGTTTGACCTAGAATTGCACTCCTAGGAAATTATCCAAAAAAAACAAGATTCCAGATTCAAAAAGATATTTGCATCTCTATGTTTATCGCAACACTGTTTACAATAGCCAGGATTTGGAAGCCACCTTAGTGTCCATCAGCAGATGAATGGATAAAGAAGATATAGTACATTTACACAATGGAATATTATTCAGCCGTGAGAAGGAAACAAATCGTACCATTTGCAGCAACATAGATAGAGCTAGAGGGTATTATGCTCAGTGATATAAGCCAGGTGGGGAAAGACAAGTATCAGATGATTTCCCTCATTTGTGGAGTATAACAATGAAGCAAAACTGAAGGAACAAAACAGCAGTAGACTCACAGACTCCAAGAAGGGACTAGAAGTTACCAATGGGGAAAGGTGAGGGAGGGCAATTGGAGGGGTGGCTGAAGGGGATTGAGCGGCATTATGATTGGCACACATGGTGTGTGTGTATGTCTCAGGAAGACTAACACAGAGAAGGGAAATATTGACACTGATGGACAGTGACTGCAATGGAGTGTTGGGGGGACTTGATAATATGAGTGAATGTAGTAACCACAATGTTTTTCATGTGAAACCTTCATAAGAGTGTATATTAATGATACCTTAATAAAAAAAAACAGAAGACAAGAGATTTAGAAACATTTTGATTGAGCCCACAGAATTTAATGTTTCTTTCCTTAATGTGAAGAAGATGGAAGTATCTGAATGTCTCCCAATTGTGTGACTTAAGAAAACCTGATAGATGGCACATAAAACAAATTAGAAGAATGAGCAGATTGGGGAGGGTAGAAAGCCAAAAGTTTTAATATGCTGAATTTTATATTCCTTGTGTTTATTACTTAATGATTCTTTGTATACAAATGACAAAAAAAATAAGTTAGGTGAAAAACGGAAATTTCTGATAATGTTGTAAAAAAACCATTGAAGACAGGCTTAAGAAGGAAGAGTCAGAGAGCTTGATGGAAATTGCTTGGAGAGTGAAGGGAAAAAGAGCTTTAAAGATGAAGAAAGTGGTCGGGCAGCAGAGCGGAGTTTTATAGGAGTGGGACTGGGAGTAGCTGGGAACAGGCTGCAGTTGCCTGAGAAGATAGCCATGGGGAGCTCTCAGGGGATTCGGAAGGCCATTTCAGAGGTAAGGGTGTTTTAATGTGGATATAACATGCTTCAAGTTACTTCAGAAATTTTGACTCTAAGGGACAGGAGGCAGGTGCCTAAAAAAGCAGGTTATTGTTGAGTTGTGTTTTTTGCTTCAGTCTTCGCTACCACCTTTTGACAGGTGAGGGAACATGCAGAGGGGTAACAAGTTGCTGGGTATCACCCAGCTGAGAAGAGGGGACACTGGGGCTCCATCCAGAGCTCACACTCCTAACCTGTTGCCAGGGATCTTCTGTCTCTGAATCCTGATGAATCCCTGCACTCTTAGCTGCCACCTCACCCGGTGAAGAGCGGAGACACTCTAAGAGAAACACTTTCTTCTTAGTTTGCAGAGTGGTGTCTTGAGTATGGAGCACATGGGTGCCGCATTCCCGACAGACCCTATTCTCTCTTTGAAGGTAAGAGTGAGGAAAAGACTATAGTTTTATAATATTGGGGCAAGTGAATTTGATCCCCCCCTTTTTGTGGATGACCACTATTACATTTGATCTTAATGGGTAATCACTGTAACACAGCTGTGAACAGGGTGGTTTATTGCTGAAAATTATATTGAGTCTTTTCACCTTACCTATTTTGTGATCCTATGAATGTCTTCCAAGTATTTTTGGATCTTTTGTGAGGTCTATATAAAGTCAGAACATTACTGTTACTCTGTAATGCAAGAAGTAAGTTAACCTCTCTGCGTTTCATCTGTGATACTGTGTTATAATAATAAACTGGTCACTGGAAACTTAGTTATTTAAATATATTTAATTATTTAATTTATATGAACAAGTATGAAGATAATGAATATTCATTAGTAATGTAAAGTATTCATAGCTGGAAGACAATATTGAAGAAAATTCTGAAAAACAAGCAATAACAGGAAATTGGCAAATGCAACATGAACAGTCTGAAAACTATTCTATATATATAAAATATAATTAACAAAACAAAAGAGGCATCCTCAAAGAGACTCATGTATTTTTATATTAATATTGTGCATGTGTGTATGAATTGGATAATTTATAACAAGCCACAGATCAAAGGGCAGAGGTTAAATGGTGTGAGGATAAAGTGATGATAACTTTTAGTTGTAATTGACCCTCAAAACAATATGGGTTCGAATTGCAGAGGCCGCGCATATGTGGATTTTTTTCAATAACTATATTAGAAAATATTTTGGAGATTTGCAACAATTTGAAATAACTCGCAGGCAAACCATGTCCCTAGAAATATCAAAAAAGTTAAGAAATAGGTATGTCATGAATACATGAAATATATGTAGATATTCGTCCTCATTATTTACTACCATAAAATCAACAGTAAGTTATTAGTAATTAAGTTGTAGGGAAGTCAAAAGTTATATGCAAATTTTCAACTGCATTGGGGTCCATACACCTGGACCCCATAATTTTCAAGTCAGCTGTACTTTAGAGCCACATCTTATACTAGTTCCAAAATAAACTTCAGAAGGAATAACTGAATATTTTTTTAAAAAACATAATAGTGGGGTACTGAATTTTGTCAAAAAAAAATTTTGCATCAATTTCTGCATCTGTGGAATAAACCTCACTTGGTAATGGTGTAAAATTCTTTCTGTATAGTGTAGAATTGCATTTGGTAATATTCTGTTGAGGATTTTTCCACCTGTATTCACATGGCGTATTAGGCTGTTGTTTTCCTTTTTGTTTTTGTTTTTGTTATCAGGGTAATACTGACCTACTTACCTAAAAAACTATATTGAGGATACTTTATCCTCTCCTCCTCTGTTTTCTGGAACAGATTGTATATTAATTGGAGGAAGAATTGGTGTTAATTTTCATTTAAATGGTAGAATTCTCCAGTGAAAATTATTCAGCTTAGGAATTTTTTTCAGAATTTTTTAAATTATAAATTTAATTTGTTTAATAGTTTACAGGGCTTTTCAAGTTATTCTGTTTCATATTTGATCATATTTAGTAGTTTCACATTGGTGTTAAATTTATCTGTGTAAAGCTGTGGTAGTATTCCTTTATTATCCTTTTGATGAATTGTCTATAGTGATGTGCCCTGTTTTTTTATGCTATTGATATTTTTAAATCACATAATGGAAATATGAGTATAAAATAGAGAATTTGTCATTATCTTTTGCTGAGTAAGATCTTTTTAATATTCAAAGGAATCATAAAATATTTCTCCAAATAAAAATTTTATTCTTTCATGTCATAAAAATGCAGTGCATTTGCACCATATATAACAGAGTTAATACCTGAGCTTTAAATAGGGTCCCTTCAAGTTTATAATGGCAATTTCAAAGCCCCAGTAAGTCAAAATCCTTGAATGTATAATCCCTAAAGACTGGGAAGTTACCAAATTCATCTGTTCCCCTGTGCTTCACAAGTCTCTGGCAGTAGGCACTAGTTAGATTCCTATCCATGGGTAGAAAGTAGTTGTATTGAGTGCCTGTGTGGAGACTGCTCACCTGGAAGGGTTGACATCTGTGACTCCTTCTGGAGGAGCTTTCTCCTGCTGAAGTGGACCTGCTGTCCCACCCCAACAAAACAAGCAAACAAGTGTCATCTCAGGATGACTTTTCAGACAGTGTTATGCATCACTATCTATTACATAGATCAGTAGTTTTCATATTTCTTAAATAAGCTGCTGTAACTCTTTCTTTATATAAAAGCTTATAGGAAAGGCTTAGAACAGCCCAAATGAAGGAAAACAGCTCCAGACTTACAAAAAATATGAATGAATCAATGAAAAACTGAAAGAAGAAACCAGATACCAGATACAACAGGCTACAATTGTGACTCTGTTCATGTGATAATCTGAAACAAGCAAAACTAATCCTTGGTGGGGTAGGAATGGTGGCAGGGGTAGAATGGAGAGGCACACACAAGAACTCCTTGGAGGACAAATGTTGGTAGTAATGGAAATATCCTGCAACACTGAAGACTTCTGTAATTTGTTGTATATAAGTTTTACATAAAAATAATAATAAATAACCCAATAGAGAGGGATCAAAGTCAGAGGAAGATAATGGAATAGGAGCTAACAGTGATAATAACCTCCTCCCATGTACACACTGAGGAGAAAACTACATTAAATACAATTAACTCTGAAAATTACCTAAGCACCAAAGAAGAGTCAGTCTACACCAGCGAAGAAGGGAAGGCCACATTGAGAAGGGTAAAGGAGCAGAACCATAACTGATCTGGATTCAAGCCCTTCCCCCATCCCAGCCCTCAAGCAGGAGGAAGAGGAACAAAGTTAGGAGGGTATAAATGCTCAGGAACCTGATGCACCCGGCCCTGGGTATCTGCTCTGGAAAGACAAGTCTCCAATGGGCTTTGAAGATAAATGGGGCTGGCCACTAGGAAGAGTAGGAGTACTGGGTGGAGGGGGGCCAAGACTCCAGTTAGTTATAGAGGACCAGTGAGCTCTGTTGGACACTCTTAGACCCAGCACAAAGGCAGCAGTTTTAAAGATTTTCTAGCCAAGGTAAGTGTGTTGGGAGATTCTGAGTCAGCTATCTCTGGAGGAGAAAGGAGAGACAGACAACACTTTTTCAGTCCTCCCTTAGCCCACTGGCCAGATGCTTGCAAGAGCCAGCTGTGAAATGCTCCCTGCCCACAGCCTACCAATGCAGTTGCACCTTGCCACAACAGAGAATTGGGGTCTGGTAACAGAGGGTTTAATAATTCTGGGTACCGCACAATGCACACTACCTAAAACCACTATTTTCAAGACCAGGAGGCATAGCTGATCTATCTAATAAAAGGAAGAAACAAAGAGACCCAGACAAAATAAGAAGGCAGAATAATATGTTACAAACAAAAGAACAAGACAAAACACCAGAAAAAAACTGCTAAAAGAAACAGAGGTAAGCAATCTTCTTGATAAAGAATTCAAAGTAATGGTCATAAATATAGTCACTGAACTGAGAAAAAGAGTTGGTGATCTCAGTGACAACTTCAACAAACAGATAGAAAATACAAAAAGAGCCACTCAACTGAAGAATACAATAACTGAAATGAAAAAAATACAATAGAAGGAATATATAGCAGGCTGGAGGAGGTAGAGGAAAGGACCCATGAACTGGAAGATAGTGTTGTGGAAGATAACCAGGCTGAGGAACAGAAAACAAAGAATTTCTAAAACTGACAAGATGCTAAGAGAGTTGTGTGACAACTGCAAGTGTGACACTATTCAAATAATTGGGGTCCCAGAAGGAGAAGAGAGAGACAAAGGGGTAGAAATTGTATAATAGCTGAAAACGTCCCCAGTCTGGAGAAGGAAATAAACACCCAGGTCCTAGAAGCACAAAGAGCCCCTAACAAGGTAACCCCAGGATGACAACACCAAGACACACAGTAATTAAAATGGCAAAGACTAAAGATAAAGAGAGAACCTTAACAGCAGCAGAAGAAAGCAGACAGTTTTACCTATAAGGGAAACTCTATAAGGCTATCAGCAGATTTCTCAGCAGAAACTTTACAGGCCAGAAGGGAGTGATGTGATATATTCAAAATAATGAAAGGGAACTATCTACAACCAAGAATATTTTATCCAGAAATATTATTTTATACAGAACTGAAGGAGAGATTAAGTTTCCCAGGTAAATGTAGGTTAAAGTAATCAATCACCACTAAACCAGCCTTACAGGATATTTTTTAATGACTTATTTAGGTGTAAATGTCTTTAAGTGCAAATGTTTTTCATCAGTGAAAACATTTATATGAACAAGTATGAAGATAATGAATATTCATTAGTAATATAAAGTATTCATAGTTGGAAGACAATATTGAAGAAAATTCTGAAAAACAAGCAATAACAGGAAATTGGCAAATGCAACATGAACAGTCTGAAAACTATTCTATATATATAAAATATAATTGACAAAACAAAAGACATCCTCAAAGAGACTCATGTATTTTTTATATTAATATTGTGCATGTGTGTATGAATTGGATAATTTGTAACAAGCCACAGATCAAAGGGCAGAGGTTAAATGGTGTGAGGATAAAGTGATGATAACTTTTAGTTGTAATTGACCCTCAAAACAATATGGGTTCAAATTGCAGAGGCCGCGCATATGTGGATTTTTTTCAATAACTATATTAGAAAATATTTTGGAGATTTGCAACAATTTGAAATAACTCGCAGGCAAACCATGTCCCTAGAAATATCAAAAAAGTTAAGAAATAGGTATGTCATGAATACATGAAATATATGTAGATATTCGTCCTCATTATTTACTACCATAAAATCAACAGTAAGTTATTAGTAATTAAGTTGTAGGGAAGTCAAAAGTTATATGCAAATTTTCAACTGCATTGGGGTCCATACACCTGGACCCCATAATTTTCAAGTCAGCTGTACTTTAGAGCCACATCTTATACTAGTTCCAAAATAAACTTCAGAAGGAATAACT